ATAACTACTAAGTTTTATTTAGTTATCGATTTAAAGCAAACCTTAGAACTTGTGTTTTTTATTACGTTTTTAAATTATTGTAATTAAATGTGTTTATTTTCAAACTAGCTGTTGTTCTCGTAAGGCTATATCCGCATGAAATTATAAAAAGTTTATTTTATTGTTTACATAGCAAATGTCAAAATGTCATGACATGAAGACAACCTTGTTTCCTTGATGTTGGCAGCAACTTATGGTCTCTTTCCCACATTAGGGTTTTTATCCAAAATATTTACCCCCTAAGTTTAATGTCGTGAAAATATATAGCCTAAAGCGTGACGTAAGAGTACAGCTTTTTATTAAAAAAGAGTTTTTCAAAAATATGCTGTAATAGCTGACATCTTAGGCAACAAAGAAGTATGTGTTTACGCTTTATTATAATAGTACAGATATAGATGATTGCTTTTAGAAATGTAAATTGTAATTTATTTTCCTAAGATACATATATTTAAAAGTTATGTTTAATTTGTTTTACATGTTTGTAACGTTTATTTTTTTATGTTATCTACGCAGTGTAGAAATTATTTAACAATCATCTTACATCTAATTTCATGAAATTCTGCGAATGCTATGAAGTGAAAGGTAAAAACAAAATAACATTATAATAAATCATATTACGATTTTGATATTTTCTTTGTTGCTTTCCTTTCCTTTAATTCGGTTACATAATAGAAAATCGTCTAAATATTCTTTGTTCTCGTAATATGTTTTACAGAATATTTGATTAAATAACATAATTTAATCAAAAATAAACAAAAAGAAGTGAATAATCTTGACTTAGCTCTATTGATATAAACAACCTTTCTGTACAAAATCTTAACATATTCTCTACTTTTTAACGAATTTCTTTTTTAAAGTAATGAATAGTTAATACTCCGTTATAGATACACTTTTTAAACTGTCGTTTTATATAACAGTCACATATAAATTGCAATTCTACAAAATATTGTCCGTTTCAATTTGCATTGTATTTTTGTTGTGATCGACTAACGACTAAAACATCATTCGAACGTTCATTCACATTCGTTCAAATTCAATTTGAACGCTGGCTTTTCATCGCGTTACATTTTATACGAATTTTCAACGTCGAAGGGAATATTTGACGCTCAGCTCAGCCTCTATTGGCAGGGAATTAATCGAACGGTACAATCGAAACCTTTGTAGACTTTAAAAACGCTATATGGATTAAAACCATGCAATAATTAAATTTTAGTTAAGAATTTCAATTCTTAGTCCATTTTAATATTATAAAGAGGAAAGATTTTTGTTTTTGTGTGTAAAATAACTCCAAAATTACTGGGCCGATTTAAAAAATTTCACCGTTACAAAACCTACGTTCTCAGTGAGTAACATAGGCTATATTTTTTATTTCACGTGGGCGAAGTCGCGAGTAACAGCTCAGCAGCAGCAGCAGTGTTTAAAAATCGTGAATGCATAGGACTGTTATCAAAGAAGTTAAATCAGACAAACCTTGTTGACTTTTGACTGATTTGTATGTTTTTAACCCTTTTAATTGATTTTTTTGAGCAAATTCCTTCAAACGTCCACAACAGTAAATATGTGTATAACACAGGTGTGTTTTATCCTCTTTGTTACAAAAGATAGAACTGGTTTGAGAGTCAATAGAATTGCAAAAGGGACATCATCCGTATCCGCATATGTCCACTCTCCACTCCGCATCAACGCATTACCATAAGAAAAGACTGGATCAATATGTACATTTGAATGTGGTCTGTTGAAATTGTGATAGTTTATATTATATATAAAGAGGAAAGATTTGTATTTTTGTATGTATTGAATTGAATAACTCAAGAACTACTAGGCCAATTTAAAAAAAAATCACTATTATAAAACTACGTTATACATTTGCTAATTTTTTTATTATCTTTAAGAGCATATCAGACCGCATGCATATGCATAGATGAATATGCCAGGAGCGCGACTAATGGACTCTCATTCTGCTTACCCCGTATGGACATTAGTTGGAATAGTAACTAATTTTAGAGATCACTGAATGTATAATATAGAAAAAAGAAGTTTATTACTCTTCAAGAACGCAAAATCTTTGAGCGTTGAGTATTTTTTTTTGTTGAGATATTGAGAAAAACAAATTTTTATGTAAATTATTCATGAGATTTTATGATACAATGGAATGTAAAATGATTGTAACACGAAGAGAAATTCAAAATATCCCGAGGCGTTGCTTGTTTGCGCGACAATATTATGAGTTTCTAAATTACGATTATGAATGACAATGTCACATAAAAATTATATTAAGGTTGATTATTTTATTTTAGTCTTGTTAATGTGAAATTGAATTTCGTCTTTCGTGAGATTATTTTACAAGAAACCAAGAACGACCATGACATTATTATTTACTGTTATAACATTCTCAGAACTTTAAATATTACTGCATGTGGCTTGGGTCTATCAGATAGCATTGTTTTTTAATAGTTTTTGATATGTAAAGGTAAAAATTACATTTAACTAATGTGTACTGCTGCTGTCATAGTCGTAAATGGTAAACTTTTTTGAAGTATATCTCATACTTAATCTATACTAAGGGATACCATTTAAGACTTCTGAAGTATTAGAATTCTATCTCGATTTAATAGTCTAGAAGCATTCTCCTTTGAGAGTCAAAGTTACAGCGAATTTCAATTACCTATTGATTGAGTGCACGCTCACCGCAAACTATTTGCATCACCGAATTTCATGCAATCCACTGCAAATTGTCTGCTCAAATGTAACCACAACTTCGAACAAAGCTTCGTCTAATCGAACTTGAATAAAATTCTACTTTTATCTAGATTCTAGTTCTAAAAAGAAATCAAATCATGCTTAATACTTACTTACTTACTTACTATTATCATAAATGCGAAAGTTTAGATGGATGGATGTTTGTTAGAGTTTGTAGCCATAACATCTGAACGGATTTCGATGAAATTTGGTACAGATGTAGAGGATAGCCTGGAAGAACATATATGCTACTCAATTTTGTTTTTTGTTTTTCTAATTCCGCGCGGACGGAGTTAGTAAATATATGAAATGTCTTTATTAATCTTGATAATGGCCTAAACAACACTTACTTAGGGTAGGGTAAGAGCCCCTGAGTCGGCACGTATAGTTAGCTGGTGACGAATTATTAATCTTACTAGCTTTCGGCCGCGACTCCGTCCTCGTGAAATAAAAAAAACAAAAGTGAGTATCATTTGTGTTCTTCCAGACTAACCTCTTCGACTATACCAAATTTCATCGAAATACGTTCAGCCGTTTTAGCTACAAACTCTAACAAACATCCATCCATCTAAACTCTCGCATTTATAATATTAGTGTGATACACCGATTTATAGTTAAATTAACCTATCTTGCGGAAAATATAACAAAAAAGTGATTACAATATACAAATCTAATGCGTTTTCTTTTTCAATAGAATAGTTCTAGATAAGAGAACTTTTCTAAATCGAAGTGATAAAGTTTTACAAGAAAGTTAAATGGAAATTCTCGATAAGGTAAATATGAAACGGACTGGGAAATAAGTTTTCAAATTAATTGTTTAAAGGGTAAAACTTTGAATGCAAAGTGTATTTTCTTCAACAACTTAAGAATATTAGAAGCGGCAAGAATTGTAAATTCTTATCTGATAACGATTTTTAATCCAGAAGGTTTATTTTTTGCACAAAACAGGAATAACAAAACTTAAAATGTGAGATGAGAATATCTGAAAAAAAGGGATTTTTGAAATAAGTTTTTATTATTATTGAAATAGTATAACTAGTCACTTGCATTAATTTACATGCTCTCACTGTAAACACGGTAATTATTACCACGTTCAGTTAAGCCTGCCAATGCTTTTAACAAACTTTTTAGTATTAGTTTTAACTGAAAAGTCGAACTATTCAATTAAAATTGTCAGAATTGAACATATGCAGCGATTTCTAAAGTACATACAAAATTGTCCCAGTTTTAATTGTCCACATAAGTCAGTTGTCCCATATTCGAAGCGTGCGGGGTTAAATCAACGTCACTGGCACGTGCCTAGACTTTCATCTATCAACGTCCGCTGTGATAACAGAGAATACTGAAGTAACGGACATACAGGATTCTGCTAGCGTTGGATTTTTTAATTTTAATAGTCACGTATTTAAGGAACATTTTTATAGCATCCGCGTAAGTTTAATACAATAAATAAAGGAAAAAAAAGGTTTTTATGTACATTCTTAGTTTATAAACATTTTTATTACATTCGTAGATACATTAATCAACATTTTAAACGAATCTCGGATTCTAATCCACGACTTCAAGATCAAAAGTTTACATTTCGACATTCCTTCCGAGTTAAATTTTGTATTCTCATAAAATTGTGATATTTTTCCATCATTTAAACGCACTTTGACGCACATATATTATTGTGAAATAATACCACATACTTGAGAACGATCGACATATCTAAAATGAAGTACACACGATGAATTCGTAATGCCCTCTTGTGGGATGTCGAAGCGTATCCAATCTAATTACATTAAACTAGCCGCTCGGACCTTGCCACGACCGAGTAATTTCAGAATTAAAAAAATCAAAAATGTTTATCTGCTACCCCATTTTTTGTATAAGAAAGCTATAAATGGCTTTAGAGCGGACGTACACCTTTGACTAAACTATCGCACTATTGTTGTGCGATTGTCGATTGTTTCGCGGCTAATTCGAATGTTTAGTTGCACAACTAAAAGTCGAGTAGTGTACATACCTCCATATAAGCTCATAGAAATCAAAGCGCAACTAAACAGTTGTGCGATAGTTTAGTCAAAAGTGTGCGCGAATTCTTATACAACGAATTCATTAACTAGAGTGTCAATTTATTTGTTTGTTTCTATTTCTCCGACGACAATGTTTATTCTTCAACGTATCAAGTACTAATAAATACCATTTTTAACGCTTGTGTTTTTTGCTACTAGAGTATTCTATTTATCAGTATATTTTTCATTCTTTTCTCTTGATTGCTCTCCGCTTAATGCTTTTTGTATCTCATTAAAGGTCTTTCCATTTGTATCAGGAATGCAGCAATAAACGTAAGCACAACTTAACGCACAAATAATGCTAAAAGACCAATACGTCATCGCTGGTCCTATAGCCACAGTCAATAGGGGAAAGAACTTCGTGGTGATAAATATAAAAAGAGATACGAAGACCATCGCCATAGTAACTCCTAATGCTCGACCAGGACCGTCAAATAACTCTGGGATCAACACCCAAAATAATGAACCTATCCCTGAAAATGGAAGAAAGAATTCAGTCAGTTATAAAGATTTCTATCCGCTTTGATAAAATTACCTATTGGAAAGTATTTCAAAAAGTAAAATTAAAGTAATTTCTTAACACTCAACTTAAGAAACAATCAAATTCTGAACCAGTTTTTTTAACATAAATAAACCAGCGCTTGACCACGATTTCACCTAAGTAAACACGCGGTCAAAGGAAGTTTTTTGTTCAACTCTCTCGATTAAAGTTAAAAATGACATACAGGAAAAATCCTATAACTGTGTTTCTATGGACAATGGAAGTAATATTTTTGATTAAAGTTACAATTACACCTTTTGCTGTGTTCAACTTACTTAAGTATCAATATTACCTGCACTATAAGAGTAAATTACTAGTATCAGCGATATCATTGGCAAGTAATTCAAGAATCCAATCACCTCTTGCTTCTCCTCCGTTAATTTGAAAAATAATCCCAACGCTAGCTGAAACATACATAAAAATGTCATAACTACTGATTTTAAAAAGTTAATTTTTGTACAGTGTATCGCGAATGTTTAAAGAATAATTTTACCATTACTAAATTAAAATTTACTAATGTTAAAATTGGGATTTTAATTTTCATTTATATTAGCGGTTCTAACTTCACGCTTATCGCAGAACACAATTGTATGTGTAACTATAATAGATACAGGGAAAAATACTGTGCATGCCTATGTTGATCTTGGGCTGCCAAGATATTTGAAAAGCGTAATACTACTAAAAATTAAAGAGCTTACCAATCCAATCAAGACACCAATGAGCGATGATAGCAATATATGTCTCCTTTTCCATCTATCAGTAACTATCGCTGCACATAATGCTGCTAAAATTTGTATCAAACTAATCACAAGCGAAGCAATTTCTGGCATAACCTTAGTGTTCGTGGATACTAAAATCGTTTGCAAATAATACGATACTGCGTTAAATCCAGTAAATTGTGAGATAAAACAAAGGACTGTCGCTATCCCAATAGATTTAAGAAAGACACGATCCTTTAATAATTTCATTTTATCGACTTTCTCTGTGTTAACCGCAATTGAATACATGACGAGCTCTTCTTTCGCTAATTCTTCGGAACCACGGATGGATGTTAATATATCCGTTGCTTTATCGATTTTTCCTAAAAAAAGATAATTACAAATTAAATTTACAGTTGCATTCATTTTGTACATTCGTTTTTCCCATTTATAATCATTATGAATATATGTTTTTTAACATAAATACTTTGAATCAAGTGCACTTACTGACGTCATTCTTTTTATTACCTTTTTTTGTTATTATATCATTACGTATAGAATTAGTCGACCATGAAAGCATGATATTTTTTTAATTAAAAAATTAACAGTATAAAAATATTATATGCCATTAACCATTTAAGAATTAAATATTCATTATACAAAATCCTTACCTTTGGAATAGAGATAGTAGGGACTATCGGGTAAAAAAAATACCGGAATCGCCACGAGCAGATTCATTGCTGCAAATATTACACTAAACGTTGTATATGAAACAAAAGGTCCTATTGACTTCGTTATTGCTATACCTAAAGAACTCAACATCTGCAGTAAAGTGCCGAGAGAACCTCGAGTTTCTTTCTGTAAAGTAAACAGTATTTTAACATATACTAAATCATCATCTTCCTGTTATCTTACGTAATATCTTCACAGTATGAACTACACTTTCATACGTCTCTACCAACCCTCTTATGTGAATTCAATCTTTACTATGTCGTTTTTCATATAATTTTTACATACTCTCTTCCGTCCTCCTCTACCTTAGTTGTTCACTAAATAATTCTTAGAAAATACTGTTTGCAGAATACTTAATTATGCTAAGTTCACATATTGTAAAAAATTGTTAATATACGAAAACTAAAAAAAACTATGATAAATGTAGCAAAACAATATTAGCATAAAACTCACATCAGCGATTTCCGAAGCGTAAATAGGGACGGCAGTAAACAGGAAAAAATCCGCTGAACCAATTATAGCCCGGCCCAATATCAAGACCCATGCCTGTTTGGCAAATATGAAAACAATACTTATTAATATCTTCGGCAGACATGTCAGTATTACGCAGTGTTTTCTACCAATACGGTCTATTAACATGCCTAGAAAACAAAGAGCTGAAAAGAAACAAAACGCATAAAATAAGGAAGGAATCTATCTCAAAGATTGAATTTAGATATCGGCCATCAATGTCTTGACCAAAAAGGGAGTGAGTAATTCGATACGTATATTGCCCTGAAGTATTATAAGAGCGCGCGCACACCTTTGACTAAACTGTCGCACAACTGTTTAGTCGCGCTCTGATTCCGATAAACTTATATGGATGGGCTTACACCAGTCGATTTTTAGTTGTGCAACTAAACACTTGCAGAGGCTGCGAAACAACAATCGCACAACTGTCGTGCGATAGTATAGTCAAAGGCTCGCACCCGCCCGCCGTAAGGGTATAATCAAGTGTAGTTATTTAGTAATAATCTTACTGAATGTGTTGCACAGAGCACCCACTGAAGCGATCCATGAGCCCTCTTCATCAGTAATGGGTCGTTCTAATGGAGATTCAGTTTCGTTCCTTAACTTCACAAGCACCGGCGACGGCCAAGCCAGACTCATACCAGTCGTTATCACGCCTAGATTGACTGGAATGTGTAAAATTGACAAATAAATTATAAAAATAAATAAAACAAATGATTGTGCTTATTTAAAATTAAGTCATAAAAAAATAAATTAACAAGTAAAAAATACTACAAGGTCGGGTCTCATGGTAAAAATTATTTCTGTCTTTGGTATTTCAAACACAATGAGGAAAGACTATGTTATATGTATTTGTACATGTTTTTGGCAGTTGAAATTCATGGTTCAATCGAACTATTACTTGAATAGACACAAGCCGAAACACAGTTGTTAACATCAAACTATACTAATTATTGGTTAATGCAAATAATAAAATACAAAACACTTACCAATTAAAACTATGGCATATTGTTTGAATCGTGGCGCTTTTAATATTGGCAGCATATTGAATAATTTATGTATAACGTTAATTCCTTTTGTATGTTTGTTTTCAATGCACACTGTAAAAGAATATTAAAACCGATTAGATTTAACCGAACACTCTGACTGTTCAGTTAAAACTGTCATTTGTCAGACAGCCTGCATATTAAGAGCGCACACATTTGAATAAACTATCGCACAATTGTTTAATCTCTTTGATTCCTATGAGGTTAATATGGGTTTGTGTAACTAAACAGTTGAATTGGCGACGAAACAATCGACAACAGTTTAGTCGAAAGTGTGTGCCCGCTCAGTCATACGTTGTCTTAAAATTAACTCAAAAACTAAAAGAAACACTTACCGAATGAGATATATATCAGTCTGCGATACAGACGTTGTTCAAAAATTTTATTTTATCATAAAATTTAATGTAAGGATTTCATTTAATAATAGTTAACACACTACTTAATATAATTTGGTAAACACAATGTAATGCCAACGGCTACGGAAGTAGAATGTTGCTGTAAATAGCGAAGACAAATCTACAATTTCTCATAAGCTTTATATACTTAAGGATCAGATTATTTAATACCTAAATAACCTTATCTTCTAAAAGTTAAATCGTACGACTTGTATGAATTTTATGAACATCGAAAACTAGCTGTTGCTCGCGACTTCGTCCGCTTGGAATTAAAAGAAATAGTATCCAAAGTTACTCCCGATCACATCAGCTACCTTCGAGTCAAAAGTCCAGTCAAAATTGGTGTAGTTACGGAGGTTATACGAAACAAACGCGGATTTACAGACAGAAATACAAACGCAATTAAAACTGGTTTTCGTTTTAAACATCTCAAATACGTGATTTTCTCGAAGTTTTTTTTTTACAGACACTTCAATTTTTTTTAACGATATACTCGTAGATTAACTCTCGATATACTCGAAATGTGGAATACATTTACTGGCTGGTAAATAATAAACTAAAGCAATACGGTGATTAATGTTTTTTTAGACTATATGACAAATAGCTAACGTTTAGTCCTACTTACATTGTAACATTAACAATGTCAATTATATCACGTAACGGAGAGCAATTATGTGTTATTAAACCGTAAGGAGTTAATAACGCCATAAATGTACTATATACGCACAATTACATTTAACAAATGCTTATAAAAGGCGATATAAACATACAATGAATTTGATATTTTTTTCTGCATCATGTTACATTCTTTTAAAGATTATCTTATGAATTATATGTTAATGCCAACTTATCTTAAATCTGGGAAATTACAAAAAAAATCTCCACATTGTGCTGTCAATGCTCAATAATTTAAATGCATACTATTTTATATTAAATAATGTAGTTAAAACATACAGCGAAACTTTACACCCTTTTTAAGAAATCTTGCTGAACAATTGACGTAAAATTTGTAAATAAATGTAAATTAGAACAAAAAAATCAATCTTCGGACAGTTACCGATTACGACTAGTATTAGCCGCGAACAGAAGATTTCCCCTAACCCTAGCTTTAATTTATAGCATAGATAATTTTTTTTAATATTTTTTTGTCAAATCACTCACCAATTTTAACATCGCTCGATGTCAATCACAATTCAGTTACTTTCAGTCATTAAATTTTAAAACCAAAATGGTAGACGGAATATAGAAACTATTCCTCGCGATGATACTCCATAACTTTGTATTAGTATGTGATTTCTGTTTGTCTATCATTGAGTAAATGTTGACATAGTATCTGATTATCTATGTCCTTAACGCATATAATCTCAATATAAAGATAACAGAATCGTACATCTATGAACAAATCCATTTACGTCTAGGAATATTTCTACTACATCTTACTAATATTATAAATTTGAAATATTAGATGGATGTTTGGATGTTTGTTAGTGTTTGTAGCCTAAACGGACTCGAGATTTGGCATAAATGTACAGGATAGTCCGGAAGAACACCTAGGTTACTTGCTTTTGTTTTCTTAAATCCACGTGGACATTGTCGCATGCGAAAGCTATATCATCTGGTATTTGAAAAGTGTGTCTTTGTTTATCTAAAAAGTGCCTAACTTTAATTTCTGCGTAATACAGTAAGACCTCAGATCTGTAATAATAAATGTAAAAAAACGCTACACACTTTGCATTAATTAAACATGAGGAAAATAAATTACATAAAATTTACGTCTTTTGTTATGTTTCAAGCTTGTTTATTTAAATCGAGGTCTTTGTGTACATTGAATGTAAGCGATAGAGTTTAAGTGAAACCCGAGGACCTTTTGTGTGTTCTCGTTACCCTCATCACGACAATTCTGACATCTACTTAGTTGTGTGATTTTGTTTAAATGAAGTGAAACCATTGTCCTAAGTTTTAATCGAATACAATTTATTAAGGTTTCCTAAGCATTATATTTTGTTGAGACAATTTACTTTTTAGAATAATATCAAACTTGTGTCAAGATACGAACACGAGAAAATATGATAAAAATGTTGCTTTTAATATTGTACCAGCAATTGATCGCGACATCGTCCGTGCGGAATTAAGTTGTCTTATAATATGTGTGTGCCTATGTTTTAAATCTATGCCAAATTTCACTGATATCCGGTAAGCCGTTTCAGAGATAGGTATCAAACATCCATCCATCCAAACTTTGGTATTTATAGAATTTAATATGGATTCAGAATGTTGCCGTTTTATTTTAAAAAATAGTCAAAGTCTCACGATCATAGGATCTTAGACGTACACAATTAGTTTGCAACCCGACTTTCCCGGTCTTTATAATGATAATTTGTATAGAAAACTTGTTTTCCTAAGTTTTAAAATATTTACTTTTTTTCCATTCACAATCATACTAAAATAATAAATGCGAATATATAGATGGGTGGATGGAGGTTTGTTAGAGTTTGTAGTTTAAACTGCTGAAGGGATTTCGATAAAATTTGGCATAGATGTAGAGGATAATCTGGAAGAATGCAAAGACTACTTTTGTTTTTATTTAATTCCACGTAGATGGAGTCGCGGGCGAATGCTAGTTACTGAATAAAGCATATCAAATATTTTCAAACCAAAGATAATAAAACTCGAAATAATCATGACTCACAACAAAAAGCGGTTGTATTGTCAAACAAAGCCGGATAATGGGCAATTTCCTGGCGGAGTTTTCCATTCCGCTCTTAATTTTCATTTAATATTACGTCACTATTTTAGTAAAACTGTACAAATGTATCGCCACCGCTTTACTATATTCATTATAATACAACAACCAACCCTTTCATACTAATCGATTACTTCTAGAGATCTAAAAAAATCTAATTTTAAAATTATTAGGGAAAGGTAAATTGATGGGAAGAAAAATAACTTTTCTGACATTTGTCTTGATTTTTTTAATTGCCATTTTTATAACTACATCTTAAGTGACACTTTTTTATGACAAAAAATTTAATTAAAAACTTTACTTATACAGGTATAAGTGTAAATGCGTGTCTCAAAGACAAAAATTCGTTGACGCAACTAAAGTGCTGTTTACCTTCGGAAGGGTCTTAAATAAATAATTCAGTAGATAGACCTCAAATAAGAACACAATACGGTTTTATTCTATTCAAATGTAATTTTACCGGAAATGAACAAGTGGTATTCTTTCAAAATGATTTTTTAGGAAATGAACAAGTGGTATTCTTTCAAAATGATGGCGCTGTGTAATCGCCAAAGCGTCATAATAGACACTAACTAAAACGACTAGGTTTAAAATGACATATAATCGAACAAGATTTTTGTAGGGGATGCGAAACTTGGCAGTTTTTTTTATTTTGTAGGATATCCTTTTCTTAAAATCCTCTATTAAAAACATGCATATTTATTATCGATTTAATCAATGATACGTGATTTAAAAACACAAGTGGACAACATAAGAATTGAGAACATATGTTAGAGGAAGTCTGAAAGTTACAGTAGAGGTAGAGGAATTAAGAAGGTTAGGTAGCATGGTATGGGCATGTTATGAGAACAGAATAATCAGGTGCCAAAGAGAACTTTAATTATGAGTGTGGATGTTCGCCGATAGAGGTAGGCCTAGTGATGGGTGGAATGCGGGAAAAATTACATGATGAAGAATGGCTAAGGACAACGATTGAAGAATGAAAAAAATACATAAAATGAGATAATCTATCTTGGAAGTAAAACATAAAAATCAAGTCTAAATCAAATATTATAATTCCGCAATATCTCAGAAAGTCTCAAGTATTTCGATTATCTTGTTAAGATAAGTGCGCTGTTGGGAGAACTGTTCTACCATAAAGTTGGTAGTCGGTACGACAACTCAATTACGTTCTATCACACTTTTAAAAAAGTTTCCCTTGAACACGTATTACGTGAAACTGTCATCATTCATATTTTAATTTGTTATCTCTTTATGCTTTTTTATTAGATTTTTTTATTGAACGGTTGGTAGATATAAAGGAGGAAAAGAATTTTAAGAGAAATTTCCTTACATTTACACGACTAATATGAAGAATTGTCTCCTTTTTTCACCATAATACACATCTTTGAAATGAATAATAGAGTTGTATGTATAACGTGAAACGGAATTTAAAAAAAAAACACAATATATCTTATTCTAAAAGGAAAGATCAAATTCTAAATTGATCTATGCAACATACAGTAACATTGTAATATAACCTTAATGGAGCTTTTACTTTAATTGAAGATAAAAAGCAAAATATAATAAGGAAATTTTGTTATAGGGGATAAGTAATTTACTTTCGGCCTGGAGAGTAAATTGATTATCTCTAAAAGGCCCTCGGGACGTGATGGTAATACACAATGCGACTCATCTCAGAGTATTTGTTATACATTTGTCAAAAATTAAAGTAATTTTACATAATAGAAACAAAAACGTTTCCTTAAAACTGTAGAAAATCGACCAATATAGCACGAACTTGGCACTAACACTGAACAAATGCGGCATCAACCAAATTTTTAACCAAAATGTGCAAAACATGCATTAAGCTGAGTTCTAAAAATAAAAAAATAGTAACTACTTACGTATGTAAGAG